TACTGGAAGCTTCTCTCCATGTTCTTCCTGCAAAAGAACTGCTCCCAGTCCGTCATCTGCAGCATCTGTTCGTAAGATAATTACTTCACTGAAGTCTGGAAGTTTCAGAATTGGTTCTGAGGATAACATCTGTTTCAGTGTATCGAATGAACGTTGCTGATTGTCTGTCCAAACTACTTTGTTGGGTTGTCCTTTCCTTGTCAAATCTGACAGTGGGACGGCAATCGCTGAAAAAATTGGTATGAATCTTCTGTAGAATCCTGCCAACCCCAAGAACGATCTAACCTGCTTCTTTGTCATGGGTACTGGAGCATTCCGAATAGCTTCTATCTTGTTTAAAATCCTGTTTTAAAGTCTCGTCACCTACTATGTGTCCTAAACAGTCTATCTGATCATATCCTATGAAACACTTAGACGGTCGCGCTGTAAGTCCTGCTTTCCTAAGTCTGGTGAATAACTCTCTCAGTGCCATCAGATGTTCCTCCCAAGTATCTGAGTATATGATGATATCGTCTACTAAGTTGTCAACCCCCACCATGCCGTGTAGAAATTCTGATTCAGTCGGCTGAACGTCGCCGGCGCATTCACTAATCCGAATGGCATAGTACGAAATTGATACAAACCAGACGATGCTGAAAAGGCTGTAAGAGCTTTACTATCTTCTTCCATAGGAACTTGCCAGTACCCTTTACTCAAATCCAATTTGAACAACAACTCTTTGTTATCTTTGAAAATATACTCTCTGTATTCGGCATAGGCTCGGCGTCAAAGACTGAAATAGAGTTTAGTCTACGAAAGTCTATGCAGAATCTGTTTGTTCCGTCCTTTTTCCTAGCTATGACTACCGGTGATGAATATGGTGAGACAGATGGTTCTATTACATTCAACTGTAACATCTTCTCCACTTCTTCCCTTATGACACCCTCGGTATTGAAAGGAATAGGATACTGCTTCACCCGTATTGGATTTGATGATGTCAGTTCAATCTTATGCTTAACTAGTGTAGTCATTCCTGGAACGTCAGTGAGAACATCAGCATACGATTCGCACAGAGATTTCACCGATTCTAGTTTATCAGCTTCCAGTCCTTCATTGAAACGTACATCTGACACTGTTTCTGTCTGAGTATCTGTGGGTAACATCATTGAATATTGCTCATCAAGTGTTCCCTCTTCACTGAAGTCAATAAGCGATATGGCGCAAGTTGTAAGAACTCCACAGTGTATTTCCACACGAGGAATGTACTGTTTCAACAAATTGGCGTGAAGTGTCTTTACTTTACTTCCCATCTCAACTTTGTAATCCATATCGCCAACTTTCTGTACAACTTTATATGGTCCTCGCCATTGCATCAAGAGTTTATTTGACTTTGTCGGAAGTAGAACAAGTACTTGATCACCAACTTTCATCCTACGATCCCTTGTTCTCTTATTGTAATGTTTTCTCTGATGCTTCCTTGCTTTTTCCAGTTGTTGATGAGCAATCTTACATGTCTCTTCAAGTTTCTCCTTTAAGTCAAGTATATATTGGTAAGTAGTCTTCACTTCACTGTCTGGTATGTCCTTGGTCCACAGTTCCTTGAGTATCATCATCGGACCACGCACCGATCTACCATAGAGTAATTCAAATGGGGAAAATCCAAGGCTCTCTTGAGGTATCTCACGATAAGCGAAGAGTAGTGCGTTGAGGTACTTGTCCCAGTCTTGTGGGCGTTCAGCACACATGCGCTTCAGCATCTGCTTTAACGTACCGTTGAATTTTTCAACAAGGCCGTTGCACATCGGGTGATACGGCGTTGTAGTTAGGCGTTTGAGTGACAGCAATCTGCTTACTTCCTTCATAACCTCAGATGTAAACTGCGATCCTTGGTCTGTAAGCATTTCTGAAGGAACACCAACTCTGCTGAAAACGTCTACAAGCGCCTCTGCAACTCGTTCCGTTTCTATTCCTTTAAGTGCCACAGCTTCAGGATATCTGGTCGCATAGTCTATGATAGTGAGGATATATCGATTTCCTCTGTCTGTGACTGGCTGAAGCGGACCAACAATATCCACAGCTATGCGTTGAAATGGTTCTGATATCATGGGCATTTGTCCAAGAGGAACTGCAGGTACTCTTCCCTTAGGTATTGTTCGTTGGCATACGTCACACGAACAACAAAATCGCCTGACATCTGCTTGTACTCCTGGCCAAAAGAATTCTGCTAGTATTCTGTCTGTAGTCTTTTTAACGCCTAAATGTCCTGCCATAAGACATTCATGAGCCATCTTCATAACCATTGGTCTATACTTCTTCGGAACCATCAACTGTCGATACTTCTTTCCATTTGACACCTTTGGACTACTGAATTCTCTGTAGAGTAATTGCTTACCTATAAACATCCTGGTTGAACCTCCATCACCGAGCTCCTTTACTGTCCCTTGTTTAGCAATGTCCCAACTCTTGCTTAGCGAATCGTCCTTCGTTCACTTACAAGTAACATCTCATCACGTGATACATCTTGTAGAGTTTCAGGAACCCTCAGTGGTTTCATAAGGCAACGGCTTCTTAAGTTGACTGCGTGTCTCAACAGCAAATGAAGGTTTAGAAGTTTTATCGAATCAATATCCGGGTTGTCTGGTTTCCGAACACCATCAAAATTCCCAAGAATCAGATCAAACATCGGTGTTTCGAAGCATGAGACTTCAATTGTTCCAGTAAAATATGGTGTGTCAACTTCAACTATCGCAACATCTGCATCTACTACACTTCCGTCAGCAAGCATGCATTTGTGAGTTTTTCCAGTCAGTTGGTTTGACGTAACCAGACTTTTCCGAATCACCGCACCACGACATCCGGTATCTGAACACTGTCACAAGTTTATCGCCAACACATCCTTTCACAACTGGCATCACTCCATCATCAACTGAATTAATGTCACTTTGCGGCTTATGCGCACCAACATGAGAAGAGTCGTGTTCTTTTCCTTGCGAAGCGACGTCCATTTTTGTTGAATCCCTGTTGTGGTTTCTGTGGTCTATCAAATTTTTCCTGTGTGTTTGTCTTAATTGCTGATGACTTCCTCAAAGGACAATCAAACTGCTTGTGTCCGTATTTATCACAATTAAAACACTTGATTCCACCACTGGTTTTGGTTCCTTCACTAGAACTTGGAAAAGATAATTGCTTTCCAAAGGAAACTTTCTTGTCGAAGATCGGTCTTTGGGTAACAGCTGATGAACAAGTTGCTCTCGCCTCAACATACTGATCAGCATATCTGGCCATATCCTGAATAGAAGGAGGAATTCGTTCCTTCAAGAATAAGGAAAGTTCTTTGTTACAACACAAAATGAATTGTTCACGTAACATCGGATCTTTTCTAGTTCTTCATAAGTCTTAACTGTTTTCGATAACTCCATCCATCGTTCCATGTAACTTTCAAGTCTAGTTGAAACTGAATAAAGGTTTCACTACCATCAGGTTTTGAAGATCTGAATTTCTTTCTGAATGCATCCTCAGTCATGTCAAACCGTTTCATCAGTGCTTTCTTAAGTTCATCAAAGTCCAACGCACTGTCTGGTGGTAATCTAGCGAACACATCCAACGCTTTTCCTTTTAGAAGTGCACTCAAGTGAGCTCCCCAATTTTGTCTTTGCCATTGCTGTGAGATAGCGTATCTTTCAAATCGCTATGTACGCGTCGACGTCGTCTTTTACCCTCATCAAACGCTGGTAATTTTGGTCCTCTAACCGGTTGTTGTGTTTCAGTGTGATGTAGCGCAGTTGACTCAAGAACTTTATGTGATCTCTGGGTCGCCATCATTTGAAATCTGTGATCTATTTCCATTTCTTCAATTTTCCTCTTGTGTTCAGCCTCAGCGTTTTGTTCCTTCATGGATTCGAGTTCCAGCTGATATTCGCGCTCCTGTTTAGCCATACGTTCTGCACGATCTTTCTCACGTTCGTCTCTAAGTCTTGCCTGTTCATTGTTCACAAACTGTTGAAGTTCTGCATCCTTGAGTCCCATTTGCGTCCCAACTTCCAAGAGTTCCTTCATCTCCTTGATGGTTGTCATCGTGCCTATGGGTACTGAGCCACCTTACCAAAGACTTTAATGATCCAAGGATAATATTCTTTCTAATTAAGAAATATGTCTCACGTCACCTTACCTTTAACCTATGTAAGGGAGAACCATACTTTCACTTACCTCTGTGTAACTATACAGGAATCCCAAGAGTAACTACTACCACTAACCTAACTATTCTAGAACTACTTGGCAAACCTACACCTACTTAGTGAAAATGTGTAATTTGGGGACGGTCAGCATTCCTACCGCTGCCACCAAATGTCACGTGGTCAAGCTGGCTATCTCCAAGAATCACACAAGTTCAATAAGTTTAATAAATTTATTTACAAAAAAAATAATAATAACAAAGATCTCATACAAACTTACCACACACAAATTCACACCCTCTTTCTCACTATTAAACAATTAAACAAAGAAAAAAAAAACAATTGGTAATCAACAATTACCCAATTAACAAATTCATTAATCAGCCAATCACCCCGGGTATCTAATTCAGTTATTAATGCCAAACATGTTCACAGATCATAGATTATCCTCGTCATCATCACGATCATCATCATCAACATCATCCTCATCCTCGATGCAGGAATGAAATCAAAAGTTTGCCTTTTATAAAGCGCTAACTCAAAGTTTCTTGGATAGACTGATCCGTTATCCGTTCACCAACAAATATTTGGATCCACGCACAGCACTCTTCCGGGTCTTAGTCCCTGGAACCTTTCGCCTCACAATGATCCCCTCAGCTCAGTCTATGTATCAAGCACAGGTCATACCAATATCCATGACGCACGGACCTGTCTCCGTGCCAGTGTCAAAATATTGCATGTACTGCTGCTATGTACATATACTAGCTGCTTCGAATCAGAAACGTGTCTGCAGCTACGCTTCTCTGCCGGGAATGACCAGGCCTCAATTGTTCTGGTCGGCTTAGCTATTTTGCAAGGACTTATGGGAAGAGTATGCATAGGGACAAAACGCGGGAAATTCAAATTATATACGCAAGTGCAATAGTGATTGTTACATTACCCTAAAAAGGTTTCACCTAAGTCGGATGTGTAGTATACAAGATCACTCGCGGACAAAATTTTCCCAGGAAGAAAAATAATAAGAATAATAATAATAAGAAACAGAGTAAAACAAAGTTCCCCAACTTTTTTGGGGAACATAATAAAGCATTTTGGCCCCTGGCGATCCCTTATTACATAACATATGATCAAAATATTATAACATATTGTTGCATATCTTTAAAAATGAAATCTTTGCTTCTCAAAATGTATACTTAATACAAAATATGCATCATTAAAGAGTTAAAGACTTCTGGCCCCTCTGAGCCCCTAATTTTATGAGGGGGCCCCTTTTTTCTTGATATCAAACGTTGGGTCTTGTGATTTAAAAGATTTTTTGTTCTACACCTTTTAGAGATTTCTTTTCGTTTAGGAGATATGCTTTATATAAATATTTAGGGGCCACCCACAAGTCCTTAATGGGGCCGTTTTACAAAAATTCAAAGTATGCATATTGTTTACACATTATTCTGACGTTCCTTTCTTCAATATTACTTATCAAAATTTTCCCCCTTTTCGAATATAAGCGTAAAAGTTTTGACATTCTGGCCCCTTGTGACCCCTTATTAGTAACATATGATCAAAATTTAATAATTTATCGTTGCAAATCGTTAATATGAATATCTTGCTTCTAAAATACATCTTTAAATTTTGATCATTAAAGAGTTAAAGATGAAAGACTTCTGGCCCCTCTCAGCCCCTAATTTGAGGAGTCGGGGCCCCTTTTTATTGATGTCAAACGAAAGGTCTTGTGATTTCAAAGACTTTTTGTTCTATACCTATTCAGAGATTTCTTTTCGTTAAGGAGATATGCTTTATATAAATATTTAGGGGCCACTCCTACAAGTCCTTAATGGGGCCGTCTTACAAAAATTCAAAGTATGCATATTGTTTAGCATATTAATCTAGCCATCTTTTGTTCAATATTGCTTATCTAACCCTTTTCGAGGAATAAACGTCAAAGATTTGACATTCTGGCCCCTTGTGACCCCTAATTACGTAACATATGATCAAAATTGTATCATATATTGTTGCAAATCGTTAGTATGAACATCTTTGCTTTTGTAATGCATTACAAAATATTGATCATGAAAGAGTTAAAGATAAAAGACTTCTGGCCCCTCTAGCCCAATTTTGAGGAGTCGGCCCCTTTTTTTTTATGTCAAACGAAAGGTCTTGTGATTTAAAAGACTTTTTTTTCTACACCTATTCAGAGTTTCTTTTGTTTAGGAGATATGCTTTATATAAATATTTAGGGGCCACTCCTACAAGTCCTTAATGGGGCCTTTTACAAAAATTCAAAGTATGCATATTATTTAGCACATTAATCTAGCCATTTTTTGTTAATATTGCTTATCAAAATATTCACCCTTTTGAGATATAAAGGTAAAGATTTGAATTCGGGCCCCTTTGGCCCCCAATTTACGTAACATAAAATCAAAATTGTATCATATATTGTTGCAAATCGTTAAAAACATCTTTGCTTCTGTAATGTATCACAAAATATTGATCATTAAAGAGTAAAAGATAAAAGACTTCAGGCCCCTCTGAGCCCCTTATTTGAGGAGTTGACCCCTTTTTCTTGATATCAAACAAAAGGTCTTGTGATTTCAAAGACTTTTTGTTCTACACCTATTCAGAGATTTCTTTTCGTTTAGGAGATATGCTTTATATAAATATTTAGGGGCCACTCCTACAAGTCCTTAATGGGGCCGTTTTACAAAAATTCAAAGTATGCATATTGTTTAGCACATTATTCTGACCATCCTTTCTTCAATATTACTTATCAAAATTTTCCCCCTTTTCGAATATGAAGCGTCAAAGATTTACATTTCCCCTTTATTATTTAAAATTACAAAATTTTTATAATTTATCGTTGCAAATCGTTAATATGAACATCTTGCTTCTAAAATTCCTCTTTAAATTTTGATCATTAAAGAGTTTAAGATGAAAATTTTCTGGCCCCTCGCACCCCCTAATTTGGAGGAGGGGCCCCCTTTTTTCTTGATGTCAAACGAAAGGTCTTGTGATTTAAAGACTTTTTGTTCTACACCTATTCAGAGATTTCGTTTCATTTGGAAATGCTTTATATAAATATTTAGGGGCCACTCCTACAAGCCCAATGGGGCCGTTTTACAAAAATTCAAAGTATGCATATTATTTAGCACATTAATCTAGCCATCTTTTGTTCAATATTGTTATCAAAATATTCACCCTTTTCGAAATATGAAGCGTAAAAGATTTCATTTGGCCCCTTGTGACCCCTAATTACGTAACATATGTAAAATTGTATCATATATTGTTGCAAATCGTTAATATGAACATATTTGCTTCTGTAATGCATCACAAAATATTGATCATCAAAGAGTTAAAGATAAAAGATTTCGGGCCCCTTCCCCTTATTTGAGGAGTCGGCCCCTTTTTTTTTGATATCAAACGAAAGGTCTTGTGATTTCAAAGACTTTTTGTTCTACACCTATTCAGAGATTTTTTTTTGTTTAGGAGATATGCTTTAATAAATATTTGGGGGCCCCCTACAAGTCCTTAATGGGGCCGTTTTACAAAAATTCAAAGTATGCATATTGTTTAGCACATTAATCTAGCCATGTTTTGTTCAATATTGCTTATCAAAATATTCACCCTTTTCGAGATATAAAGGTAAAGATTTGAATTCGGCCCCTTGTGACCCCTAATTACGTAACATATGATCAAAATTGTATCATATGTTTTGCAAATGTTAAGATAAATACTTTTGCTTCTGTAATGTATAACAAAATATTGATCATTAGGGAGTTATAGAAAAAAGACTTCTCCCCCGAGCCCCTTATTTTAGGGGTCAGCTCCACTTTTTTGACATCAAATGAAAGGCCTTGTGTTTTTTGAAAATTTTTTCCTAATATGCTTTAACAAATTATGAACGCGTATGAAGATATGAAACAAAATGTGTCAATTTTTGTGAATATTTCTGAGCTTTTTTTGGGCCCCTCCAGCTCCGGCGCCTTTTGCGCTAGAAAGATTTGGAGACCCAATTAAACTCACCAAACCTTCCTTTACTTTCACGAAAATCTTAAGTTGAAACTTAAGTCGTTTCGGAGGAGTTTCCTAAAGGACCCTTGAAAATCAGAAAATCCACCAATCTCACGACCGGAAGTGAGATCATCAAAAAAAAAAAAAACCTATAAATCAATTGAATATTTTCGATCTGAAAGTTTGGTATAAATCGGACGAGCCATCTCTGAGAAATCGCTTGCACAAAATCGGTTGGAAGAAAAATAATAATAATAATAAAAAAAAAGAAAACCCAACGAAAACAATAAGGTTTCCGTTGGAAACGGAAGACCTTTAAGAAACAATAGAATCACTATAAGGGTTTTGTGAAGACGGAAGACCTTAATAAGAAGAAACAATAGAATCACTATAGGTCTTCCATGAAGATGGAAGACCTTAATAATAATAACAAGCAAAGCTCGTTGCAAAGCAACGAGTGGGTCTTCCGTCCTGTTTGACCGGAAGTAGTTTTCATTTTTAACGAAAATGAGAAATAACGCCCAAAATTTTATTAATCCCCAATAGCTATGTTAATTAATACAAAAATACGGCATTTTTTGCTACTTCCGGTTTGACCGGAAGTGACGACGACGGATGGAAAATTAATTTTTATGTTCCCAGTGACATAGGAACCCCAAAAATTGTCAAGAAAGGCCAAAATACGCGTTTTCCGACTACTTCCGGTTTGGCCGGAAGTGACGTCGTTGGACATTTTTGTCGACGCCCGTAGATTAAGCTTGACATTTTGAACAACTTTGCTTCTTTGACGTATTACAAATTCTCAATACTTTTTGAGATACAAATGAAAAACGTTCGGCCCCTAGGTCCCTAATTTTAGGGGCCAGCCCTTTTTTTTAGATATCATTTAAAAGATCT